ATTACCTTGGGCTACCGCCTCAAATGATTGCTCGTCAAGGCTAGGATTAAAACTCTAAAATTAGAATACACAGACAAGTATAACAACAATGTTATAAAAGTCGTAAATAATGTCATAAATATGGTCAATATTCCTTTCTATCGTTTTTCTAATCAGTCATAAATCTTTAAAATATTTTTTTGGCAAACATTGTTGTTTCTTTCTTTATATCGTTTATAGTCAATGCTTTTGCGTTAGCATCATAGACAGTATCATAGACGACAACTCGCCATTGTTTGCGATGCATATTAAGTAAAATTTAATTATCGAAATAATGACATTTTTTCAATATATATTATTTAAAACATTTAAGACACAAAGTATGTTATAGAAAATGTCCGGAGCTGGCTTGGTTTATTCAGTTGCAGCAAAAAACCTCTTCTGACTTGTTAAGACATCAAAAGGGAGAAAGTAATATGCTGATCACAACATGTGAAGAAATACACCACGTGACAATGGCGTTAATGCATTTTGTCAACATTTTGTTTTCTAGTATTGTAATCAAATTTGATAAATAAATTTGGAAAATGAATATGGACTTGGATTCGTCTTTTAACAATACACAAAAAATGTATGAAATGCTATAATAATAACCTTTCCTCCGAGAATAGCACTCAAAGTGTATAGAATAGGGTTTAGGGCAGAGTTCACAGGAAGTATAAAAACGGCTGCCCATGCATATACTTCCCCTGATATAGGTTGATCGGCAATTGCTAGCAATGCTGAAATATAAAGAACAAATTTGTTTGCTTTCACTTATTTATCGAACACACAAAATGTTAAAATATAATAAAAAAATAAAGTGAATCAAGAAGTAAATTTTCAAGTGAAACATAGTCAATCTCCTTTGTGATATACCGGTATAATTTTAGAATAATTTCTATGTCATACATCGTGCATTTTAGCTTTGTCTCATTGCTTTTGTAAGAGGCAGTTCAGATAAGTAGCAGATAACGCTTCATTACGTCATAAAGTCTCTTTTCTGTCGTACATTGAATGTATACCTGTTAAACACCGAGATTCAGTATCTCACTAAATTTCAACCAGTATGACAATAAGTTCAATTATATCATTCAATATTCCTTTTTTATTCAAATATGTAAATGGCTTTAAACATTAAATTAAGACTTTAATTGGTGATGATATGTATTTTGATGTTTAGTTTTATAAAGGCATTTCATTTAAAATGTAAAATTATTTCAAACATTAAACTGTTTAAAGAGACATGCTTTACAGATATTGAACTAACAAAACTATCTTCTGAACACACTCAATAAAGCTGCATGCGTTCAAATGACCTAAAACATTTCCAGAAAATCAAACTTGAGAAAAAAAATGTACTCATATTTAAAGTAAAGTAAAAAGATTTAAGATTTAAGTACTATTACTAATTTTGCAGTATTAGTCACCATATTTTTACTGTGTGACTGACGCAGTATGGGCCTCTTATTATGCACAATTTGACCTCTTTCTAGTACCTTACATGGATTGTAAGTGGTGTTTGCAAGGTGTAAAATAATTTCTTTGAACACTTTACACTATTTCACTATTGAATATATTTTTCATTATATTACATAAAAATAGCACGAATCTGGAGACATGCTGCTTGAAACCAGGATTGTATACAGGGTACACTTAAATACTATTAATAAGAAATGAACCTTGTAGGAACACATATTTATAAACGATGATAATATACTTAACCCATAACTCCAATTGGAAACCAACACATAAAGTCAGTGGCAACTACAAGCAAAAGATTCCGTGCGACTTTTAGATCTCTCCTGCGGGAATGCTCCGCCGTAGTAGCTATACCGGACGATTTTCGAATTTCGATGAAGATAGAAAGCTGCCCGAACGCCACCATGACAAAGGTAACGAAGTTTAAGCAGACAAACACAATAAGGGAATACGCCCAACCAGGTGGACGATCTCTTGTTAACGGTAGAGCTATACAAACTCCAGATTTTGAATAGAACTCGTTTTTGAAATATTTCGCATATAGGATCGGAAAGATGGCAACACTTGAAGAAAACAACCACGTGCTAATGACACATAAAAACGCTCTGTTGTGAGACAGTTTTGCGCGTCCGAAAGGAAACTTGATAACAAGGAGCCTGTCCAATGTAATCAAACATAAAAATAGTACGCTGGCTTCCGATGATATCGTAGACAGTATCCCTGCAAGATTACACCATACACTGTGTCTCCAAATATCATCCATATAAATGTACCTAGGATGCAATAAAAGGTAAATAAATACGTACCAGTTAAGTGCACCATTCTGGTGGTTAATGCAGTGTTTAAAAGGTTAAATGTTATTGATTTTATACACAAAACATACTAACTTTGGGTTGTAATTTATAATTACTGACATTAATTTTATTGCTTTCAAGAGAAATACTTTTCAAAATATTATTGAATATAAAACTGAAAGTAAAGTAAAATTTAAAACATACTGAAACTATTATAAAAATATTCAGGATAAAAAACACTTTGTTTTAAACCAAAGCCTTATAATTTCCAAATACTTACGTCGTAATGCAAATCATACCTTTTTCTGAATACCGAATCTGCTACAGCTATGATAATAAGATAAATTGCCATCAAGAAATCAGCAATAGCCAGATTTGTGACAAATATACCAAAACCAAGTTTCAGTCTTTGTCTGTCGTATTTCAGTCTGTAAATGACCGTAAGAATATTGCCAAGGAAAGCTGTGATTCCGATCAGCCATATCAAAAACTGCAACAAGGTATGTCGCATCAAATCGTCACAGGATGAAAACTCATCCATCTGTGGAAAACAATCTTCCTCTCGAACATAATTCGGTCTGATGCAGCAAAACTTAAATTTCGGTGTGATAAGTTTCTTCAGACCAATCAATCCAGTAAATATTTCAGTATCAAACTTCTTGATATCATTTCCACTAAGTTTGATATACTGTATTGACGAATCTCGAAAGGCGAAGTTTTCTATTAAGTTCAGTTTATTATTTGACAGATCTAAATATGTAAGAGTAAGTCCATTAAATGTATCGACTGTAATTTTTTCTAGTTTTGCGTTTGAAAAGTCCAAACCTTCAATGGATGTTAGACCGAAAAATGCATGTACCTCAATTACTGATAGCTGATAATTTCCTCGAAGTTCAAGGCGTTTAAGGTGTTTTAAACTGCTGAAAGCATATGCTGGCAATTTTGTTATCCTATTAAAACTTATGTCCAGTGTACGCAAATTCTGTATTCTGTCAAACGAAAATGGAAACAATTGTTCTATGTCACAAAACGAAAGGTTCAACACCGATAAAATCTCTATATTGAGGTTTGAATCTTCCAAGACTGTTCGCAGTTTGACATTAAAGCTAAGATCAATGAAACGAGTGTTTTTGGGAACAGTTTTCAGGACTGTCATATCCAGATTTGCTTTACTGCAATTTGCAACGTACCCTTCACATATACATCCATGCGGACATTTAAAATCGCAAAGAGATTCGTCATCACCATGCAAACACTGCTTTACGCCATCGCAAACTTGATCAAGTGATATACAAGCTTTACTCCAAGAGCATTTATATTTATTTCGACAGACTGGTTTTGTTGTTTCTGAAATAAATTAGGAACTGATGATAACTTTTAATTCATCAAATGTTATTTTAATGAATATGTCAGCATTAACATGATAAAGTATATAGAATAAACTTATCATAATTATATTGTCGAGTACAATACTGTATATCAGTGGACAATTACACAGCTGTTAAATCTAAGACGACCCACTAACAGATTTCATATAGAGTTTGCAACTGTGTCAGAATCAAAAAGAAAGTTAAAGCTTCATTAACTCTTTATTTTATACCACTTAGTCTTACGATGGAAACGTTTAATTAAAGAAAATATTCAAAATTACAGTTTTTCGAGTACAATATGGATTGTAAATGAATTTATTTTGGACTTGAAAAAATGAAAGGAAGGCTTGAGGATTTTTTTATTGGAAAATGAAAACAATGCTCTCGTGAAATAAAAACGAGACTAAATCAATAAAAATGGATCCAATAATGAATTTTTTTGGAACATCACGTGGTGCAAACGCATGAAGATGATTCTATTTTATAAGTAGGGAAATAAACAAGTATGTCATATATAAAGAGAGATAAATAAAGACTGTTCTTTTAAGACAAAATGTAACGTTTCCAATTTTTGGAATGGCATATCAGTAAAAGAGATTATGATATATGCCAATAAATTATAATAATGTATTGGCTGATATCCTAAACTATCAACCGATATTTATAATGTTAGCAAATCTCATTTTGATTCGAAAAGCCAAAGGACAAAAGTCCTTATGAATGCAACCCGAAAAAAAATATTGTTAAATCTCTATCATACTGCACTATATTACTATAAACAAACATTCCGGAATAAGCAGTACAAGACTACTGAAATTTCAAGAACTTATTTTTGATTTTGAATAAACAATATAGTGTAAAGTTATACATGTATCAGTTAAATCGGTTGGCGAACAAAAATTCTGCTCGGCCCGATATATTTAAACCTCAAAATGTCACATTTTTTCAACCTTAACAATGTTGACATTGTAAAGACCGTTTGTAGAGCTAAATAAACACTATAAGCTTACAAACATTTATACAGGAAATTTTTTATCTGTTAAAATTCCTTACAGTTGACAGTTTTTATGATAAAAATAAAACATACGATTGCAAATTTCGCTGAAATACTCAGCTCCTATTCCGTTTAAAACTTTCCATCTTCTTACATGAACGTCTACAATATTTGTTTTTATTGTAGGTTTTTTTACTAGTCTAGCCGAGGCATTGACGTTCTCGGATACTCTGTATATCTTGAAACCTGACTCTAGAACAAACACATGCTTTAATATTTCCTTTGTTGCTTCTGTTGCTAGATCATTGTTCTGAAGAAGAATGACTCCTTTACTGCCATCAGTTGTAAAATGTACTGAGTCTAAAAGTTTCTTTGCTCTAATCTTGTAGCGACATTCAAATGAATGTTCAATATCTTGAACATTGCTAACTTCTCTGTCTCGAACATCCAGGATCATATCGGTGATACCATACTGTATTAATGGACTTGTAGCTTTAAAGCTTAATGTGCGTACAATATTCATCCGGGTAAGGAATTGTCTGGCAAATTTACCAATATCAGGTCCGTTTGTGTTTTCTTCTTCATATATAATTAATATCTCATTCTGTGAAGAAGGACAGCCTGAAAAAATATTGGGAGAATAAGTCTGTATGATACGGATATCCTGTAGTATTTAATTATTATGATTTTTATGAGTTGTATGCATGTTAAGTCGCACGGTGTTAATCGACATAGGGTTTATTTTTAAACCCTCGATAAACACGTCTGTATGGTTAAGATACAACCTTATTGTTCACTTAATAGTCTACAAATACCATAAATACATTTCTGTCAACCCTCATTTGCAAAAGATATCTTATCATAATGTCCTATGAAATTTGACGAACACAATTAAAAAAAAGAATAAGGAACAATGCGCGTCTCGTGATCACTAAACAACCATGTGTACACTGGCATTGCAGTAATGTGTTTTGATTGGGTAAACTGATCGATTGCAGATTGTGTTATGTAGTAGTCGTTATAACGTTTACATCTATTAATTAAGGCGCCCTTTAACTCGTTATGTTGGTATAAATTAAGTTTTTAACTTCTAGCATTAAATTACTATTTCTTTACGTGTTTAGTTTCTTAGCGTAGGTTAGACCGAAATACCGTATCCGCACGGTGTATTATTACTTTTTGTTCGAAGTTCTTATAAAGGGCCGAGAAGATGCGATTAAGAAATGGTGTGGCATATGCGGTTAAATTGGTAATAACAGGCTATTTATCGAGTCAAGCTTTTGACGTAGATCGACTGTCAATATATGAACAATTAAGGCAATAAATTCTGCGTTTAAACCAGAAAAAACAATCCAATGATTTTCATTTACAAACAAGACGTTACGAGCATATAATTAACATGACGAATTAACAAAATGTGTTGTGTGTCCTTTTGCATAATTAGCATTTCAAAAAATGATCAATATTACTTTAATTTGTTAAAATTATGAATAACGTTTCTTAACTGGTGAAAATAAACAAGAACAGTTATATTGAAAAAAAGTTATGTCTAACATAGTAAATGAAGAAACGCATAGAAAAAAAAGCACTAACAAAATGTTAGTCGGATGTATCTTACCACAATTATCTTCATCTTCCCCACCTTGACAATCAAAGATTCCATCACATAAAAATCGAAAGGGAATACAATAACTGTTTGGACATTTTACTTTGTCCTTAGGACATATGTAGTTTTCTGAAATAAATATAATACATTTAATCAAAGGTATGCTAAATGTTCTGCAGTTAATTATAAATGTGACGTGATTTATGAACGATGGGAACTACAATAAAACCCCCTGATTATTAACAAATATATGACATGTTAAAAGTCTGAATTTTTATAACAATATTATGGTACAGTATGATTTAATTTTATTTAAAAAACACAAGTTCACAAAAGCCTATATACACTTTCGGGCAATATTACTATTAAGGCTACAAACCACACTGAGTCAAATGGCTGCCATCCCTACAACCAACTGGATAGCCCGTCTCGTCTACGTCATAAACGCAGCGTAAATCGGCGGGAAAAAGTTTGCCATTTATATCACACGAGATCATGTTGTCGGTCGCTTTGTACACTAGAGTATCACAATGTTTCGAATATAAGAGATAAAATAATATCAAATATTCATTTACATAACATGTAATTAGTTCAATCAAAACTATTATAAATTCTAATACTATCGGAATTTTTTCTATATCAACAAAGAAGGCCAGAAGCGTGCATTATTCTACAACAATGCACTCGCCGTTCTTTTTATCTCCCTGTCTATTTTCACATTGAGGGCGCCAATTTGTTTGAAAAATCTGATAAATAAAAACATCTTTTTTGTCGAATTTTGTTGTGAAAACTATCTAGAATGAAAGAAAATGGTCAAACAACGTAAATGAATTCGAACACCAATATCTTTAAATCAGTCGTTTACGCTTTACAGCTTGTTTAAAGCGTTGTTTACGTGACGTCACAATGTAGCGCCAAACATCACGTGCAAAACAATCAAATCAAGTACGCTGTTTTAGTGTCGCAAACTAGTTAAGTTTTACATTTATTTCACGTTCAATAATTTGTATTTCGCTTGAAAATTTATAGAGTGAAATAAAATAAACAAACAAAGTTTCATCAACGTTTTCAAAATTCGTTATTCTAAAATGTTTCTACACACGGTAGATTTAAAAAAAAAATAACCCACTAGAACAGCCTTTAAAGAACGTTTCTATTGGAAACTCTGAGGCGAAAACAAATTTAACCACCATTATAAAGTCCAACTTTAAAATGATAATTATATTTTTTCTTGACGTGTTAGACTGGAAATAGATATTATTTATTCGTGCATTATTGTATAATAATGCATATTATTGTATAATAATGCACGTTTTTCGTTCAAATGCTTTGTAATTATTATATCAGGCCTATCGGCCTTCTTGATTATATTACTACGCATTTGAACTTAAACCGTGCATTATGCTACAATGCACTCGGAATTGATATCTTTTTCCTAAGTATATTTTAAAGACTTGACAAATTGTTCGTATCTTACGAGACATCCGTACATGTATATAGTCTCAAACAGAGACGTTCTGGAAAGAATCCAAAGTGCCAGACGGGAATCGAACCCACGACTGCGATGGCCAATAAGTTACAACGGACACACAATGGTAAATGGTGTTATATCTACTTACACTCAAATATATGAATGAATCACTAATAATTACTTCGGTTTAGTTTATATTTCTTACAGTACAATCACTTGCGTTTAGTAAGCTAGGCGGACATTAACTATGACGAAGAAACTGGAATGTAACGATATTAATAAATAATATTTAGAATTAAATCAATGTGATCCAAAACAAAACATTACTTGTTAAAAGTCGCTTAGTAAAACAAAACATACATTTAGATTGCGTTAGTGAAGATTTATGCACGATTCGAGTAAGATGCTTTTCGCGTAAAAGTTAGTAACGTTGAATGTGAACATTATGTCTGAATGAAAGTTAAACACACATAACACGGAACAACGGAAATTCGATGGTAAAAAAAAGTTGAAAAAAAACAACCCTCAATGGTGAGAAGTAGAAAGTACGATGAAGAAAAGTCGAAAGTACGTTGGTGAAAAGTCAAAATAACAAAACCAGGATCATGGTAAATACTCGGTTTTCACAATCGTACTTTGACCTTTCATCATGAGCGTGGTATCATTATTTTGAATTTTCATCAGCGTACTTTCGACCGTTCATTATCGTTTTTTCAACTTTTCACCATTCTTGTGTCGTTATTTCGATTGCTTTACTTTCTTCGGACTTTTGACTTATCATCATCGTAATTTCAAGTTTTTCATTATTGCCACTATCGTAGGTTCGAATTTTAATCATCGTAGTATCGCCATCCAGTCTAACATGCGCACATAGATCATAACAATGGATCATCAAAATGTCATCATGGCATTGGGGAAGTTTAAAAACAATTTCTCCTCATTTATTTAAATAAATACATACTAACCTTCGCTGCAAATAGCAGCTTTAGGTATTATTTGTAGATTGTATTCACGGAATATTTTGGCAGCTATCAAATAGCTTGATGATGGAACCACACTGGTATTTGGAGGTAAATTTGAGGTCCAATTTTGGTTATATTTAGTTCTGCAATTGTGGCCGCCAAGGTTTTCCATATCTCTATACATTGACAAAAATGTTTTTCATAACAGTAACTGCATATTGAAAATCAAACAAAGTTTAAAATAAAACATTGATGTATCTTAAACCGTTTATTCAACTAAACAGATCTAGTACTTACCCTTCGGATGTGATTTTGTAGTTATATAACCTACATCTACATTCTTCGATGGATTTGTTAAGATGAGCAACATTTTCATAAGATGGCAAACAAACTTCCTGAATCTGTAAATAAAAAGTTATTAAAATATGTTGTTTGGTTGTATCTTTGTATTGTTTTGCAAAGGGTATTAAGCGAGATCAAGAGGTTTAAAGTCAAAAACGTTATCCACTCCTTTACTTTATACCGTGGACAATTCTACCACGTTGACATTTATCAACTACAACAACACAATTTTGTCAAAGAAGAATTATGCTTATTAAGTATTTATTAAGTTATAATGTCTGTACATTGTTATGGTAACACTAATGATGACAGTTATGACAACAACCTAACTATTGACAACAAAGATGATGATGATGATGACCCTGATGACCATAATGGTCATTACAATCGTATTATCAGATTTGAAAATATTAAACTTACCTGCTGTATGCAGCTACTGTTTACTTCATATAATGCCATGGTTATAACACTGTTTAACCATACATTCGATATGCTGTTATAAAAATTAACAAAAGCAGCACCGAATAACAGTGTGAAGTAATAGAAATCCGAGTTGAACAACGTTCGAATCGAAACACTCTCATTCAGCTCATCGAAATTGCATTCGGCTGGAACACCTATCATGAAAAACGTGGTTTCCTTTGTTTCGATGTTACAATAACAGTGTTTGATACAAATCAGCAAAACGTGTGAGTTAAAAGAACTCCGATTAAATCTTATTATGTTTCCATTTAAATTTATTAAACTAGAAATAAGAGTAAAATTGGTGATTGAATTACCTGTATCCATCATTTGGTAATTATAAAATCGTTATCTGATTTATATATTTTAAGACACGAAATTCAGAAATCATATAGAAGATTAATTGCAAATGTAACAGTCTCAGTGTGATATAGCCTGTTTATTGATGGTAGTGGTAATCCATGCATTCTGCACCTACTGTAGCAGAATTCAACATTAACAATAAATGATACAATTGTAAAACAGGTGTGTTAATATCTAGCAGTTTTTATTGAACATTCAATATGAAGCCAAACTTATACATTCAAAACATATGCAGAAAACGGCCAGGGAAAAAAATTCAAAATAAAAAAGATATTAAATTAAATTGTTTATGGTGAATATACAATTATCAGGTATGTTATGCATATCAATGTTGGGGTTATTTTAGGCATTTATAATAAAAAGTAGGCAAAAGTTTACATTAAGAGATTGGTGTTTAAAAAAAACAATCATCAGCAATTTGTAAATAAATCTTGCAAACCCAGAATGTTATAGTATCCTGATTTTCGGTACCCTGCCTCCCATACATATTTGCACGAATCATAGCCTCTAACAGCACAATCAGTCTCATCTGTTCCATCCTGACAATGTTCAAACTCATCACAGACAAGTCGTAATGGTATGCATCTTCCAATATCACAATGAAAAGCAAGATCGTCTTGACAAGTATCTGAATATTGTTAAATGAATTCGATCTTGTATTAAAATTCTAAGGGAGAAAATGGTTAACAATTTCACAAGATCTTATGATAGACTCGGCCTCGAATACGAAGTGCACTACTACATCGCATTCGACAAAGTAATTAACCTAGGTACAACTGCAAAGATTAAACCGGCATAAATGCAATTGTAAATAATCTGTATTAACTTAAAGGCAATTGCATTAATTATCACACAAATCAAACACTGAATAAGGACTAGAAAATAAATGAAGATGGCTGACGTAGTATAATCGAGTTTGTTCACAATAGTTCAATAAAACTTGTGTTAACATGTATTTTAGGCATTAAATCATATTGCAGTTTGGAATCGGGGTTTCTCTTAACTTGAAACATTGTTCAGTGCGTATATAACGCGGCAATCATTTCTAAAACCATTAAGTACGTCACCGTCATTACCGAAAGTAAACGTTCATGTCACGATCATTACTTAGAGTTTATAAATAACCACCGATTCTGAGAAATTAAAAAGTATAAATAGCTTTAAGTACAGTACTGTCATAGTTAAGAGCATATACAATTCATCTTTGGAAAAGTGGTTTAAGCTGCCAACTTCAAATGAGCCGCGTCAAGACAAACCAACATAATGCTTTTGCGACCAGCATGGATCAAGACCAGCCTTCGCTTCCGCGCAGTCTGATCAGGACCCATACTGTTCGCTTACAAACCCTTTAACAAGTAGAGAAATTGATAACGAACAGCATGAATGCTGATCAGACTGCGCGGACGCGCAGTCTGGTCTGGATCCATGCTGGTCGCAAACCCATTATGTTGGTTTTGTCGTGACACGGCTCAAATACAAACCACAGGCTTCCTCATCAGACCCGTCAGAACAATGTCGAACAGAATCACACACTTGTTCTTTGGGAATACATGACCCATCTTTACATGAAAACTCATCAGAAAATGAACATTCTTTAAAGTCTGTAATTATGAAAAATATACAAATGTAACATGAATGTAATTTCATTTTTTAAAAGTTTTAAGCACAGTTGCATAGTTTTTAATGCGCTTATAGTTTCAGCGGAACTTCAATCATTTAATGGAGATAATTTTAAAGAAATTCAAATTCATTTCAAATTCTGACATTATTAGAAGGTATATCATTAATTGCTTATTTTGATATGTCTGTATTTTGCGGACATTCGACCAAAAGCGCTAATAATAAACAATATTGAACATAATTTGTATTTACCACTCTTGAAATAAATTTTAATTTCTCATAGAGTCCATCAGAAGCAGGCCAATGCATGAAAGTTACTCACTGTTTGCAATAAGATGCAACGTCAAAGTAAATAATAAGGTCGTTGTTTTTTTTTGTATTTCAGGGGCATTGATGCTATTAACAAAATTATAATTCTTATTTTACCACATGTAATTAAATAAAATAATTATGCAAGAAATCTGTATGTACCACAGTATTCATCAGATGCGTCAATACAATCGGCTTTAAAGTTACACACTAGACTTATGTGAATACAGTCTCCAGTATTACATTGGAATTGGTGATCTTCACAACCATTACGTCCTAAATAAAACATGAATACTTAATATTGTATATTAAAAATATATTTCAATTTAATGGTTATAAGAAAATTTATCATGGAAACCATTAAAACGACGATACCTTTTTTCCAGAAATTGTTTCATGCAATTAAAAACAGTAACATCACATACACGTAAAATTTGTATACAGCGGTGATACAAAGATAATAAAAGTGGGATATATTTCGAGTGCAACAGAGGTAAAAAAATCCTTTTATTTTTTAACATAATTTACTGAACAATAGCAAGGTTTATATTTGACAAAGTATGACTGACAACTATGATTACGACATTTAGCCTTCAGATTTATGATGCATTTCATTCTGGATGAAAGTTGAAAAGCTATCTCATTTGAAAGAATTCAAATTCCTTATCGGGATTTGAACTCACATGGTTAAGGGGTAAATAGATAAATAAATAAGATGTGGACAAGGATTTCCCGTTAAAGTACACATGTCTTTACATAAAATTTCTACAGAAACTAAGCAAATCGTTTTTTTTTCATTGAAGTAGTAGTGGTCGACTTTACAATGCTACACACTAAATATTGTAGCACTAGACCTGATAGAAAGGGTTTCCCTATGTGACTGTATGTTAAACAAATTTATCCTAGAGCAGGGCCATATGTAACCCCTGCTTATGATTTGAACGCTCTTGTGACAAATCATGAACCTACATAGTTGACTTCTTTGTACATATATCAATAACTAAGATCTAATCTTTACGCTTACGGAGAAGAGATGTTTAAAATTGATTTTTTATTTCTATTCTAAGCTTTATTGATTGGCCATTAACAATTGAAACCCTATGGAAAGACTTGATCTTGAAAAGTTCATTCAAAATAGTTTGTTGGTTTCTGACGAAATGTAATTTTGGAGTTTTATTGAAAAAACGGAGGAAAGATAACCAACGATTCTTTAAGCTTTCGCTCTTTCTTACTGCATAACAGATAAGCCAATAAAACGCCTTTACGTTTATGTAAATCGAGTGAGTTTCTTACCACCGCTGTAGCCTCCATTACAATGCAACTCATCTGAGATGTCAAAACAGTCCAGAATACCATCACATCTTGCAGTAATGGAAATCCATTCATTTGTGGTACACTTGAAAAAAGGTCTCATGTCATAAGCTGATTGGTTTGCAGCATCCGTATCGTCTAAATGCGAGCTTTTACTTATCATTGGATGTACTGTAAAAACACAGCTGAATTATTAGGACGACTGTGATTTGTATCATTTTACAAACCGAGCTTTTTAATGAATTTACCACGCGCATGCGCTGGATTCGCATTTTGCATAATTACATTGTACTAGTACTTTAATAGGTACAGCATATTGCTGCATTTAGATTTTTTTATTATGCCGAACTAAGTGAAATAAAGTGTTATAGGTAAATTGTATTGGTATGTATGCATAAAAAGTATGTTGCACAGTTATTGAAACTTTGATTAACATTGCTAATGTTTATACTTTTAAGGAGAAAACATCTTCAGGTTGAAACGGAGCAAAAATAATCTATTCACACCATTTGACGAATAATTGCATTACCCGAGTATACACAATAAAGTTCATCTGAATGATCAGCGCAGTCAAACTGTCCATTACACCTAAGATACCACTGAATCACTGACAAGTCGTCACAAACATAAACGTTTCCTGTAGCTTCAGCATTGGTAGTAAATTTGTTCTGCAGCACGGTTCGGTTTTCTTAGAATATATAATGTTTTATGATTCATACATGAGTATACAATGTCAAATAATATCTCATACGATTTCAGTTATAATTTTTGGATTTTTAAACCTTGATGTAAGTGTTAAAATCTTTAACTCTTTATGCAAAATAAATGTCAATTAAACCATTGAAAAACCAGTGTTTTTGATGTAAGGCTGCAAGCCGTCAAGACGATGAAAATCCTATACCATTTGTCTAGTGTCTCAGAAATATTAGTTTTTACCATACAAAATTGTCCAATGAAAAAACGTTTATATGGCAATTTCTGATTTTCTTCAAAACAATTAAACATCACATCTATCCTACCTAGACTCTAAAAGGAAAAATAAGCAAGCATTTTTTTATACAAAATTATTTTAGTTCGATTGTGTTGGAAGCTATATGCTTATTGAAGCACTCTCGAATGCGTTCCTGGAACCAACTAGTACAAAGCAATAATGGGAAGTTGCTTGCTCAAAGACAACAACGGCTTGCTCCTGACAGGGTTTGATACCACGCGATTAGCAATCCTTAGATTTCTAGTCCGACGCGTTAACCACTCGGCCACGCCGCTACTCAAAAAGCAAGTATTCAAATAGCGACATATGTCATTGTGTTCAGTCCTTCTACCTGTTAAAATCGTTATTTCATTCTTCATAGCGTTCATTACAGAACGTTTACACAGTTGAAAAGAACTACATGTGTACTTACATCTTTTAGAAGAATAGACTATTTACATTGTTAGTTAAAAAAATGATTTTAATCAAATTATGCGAAGTACTTAGATTTGTAAGTTAGTACGTTGTATAATTATTCTAAAGCTATCGGACACATTTTTCTATTAATGCAAAGGGCCAGAACACCACTGATATTTTCACAACAACGCACTCTCCTGTTGCTTCTTTTCCCCTCTGAAATACTGCTCTTCGTCTGCCTCGTAGTCGTAGCAAACAGTGTAAAAAGGTTATATATTTAAATTTTATGATAGTCACATTATCATTCCATTGACAGACTACTGTTTTAAAATAAAGTGGCTTAGGATTACTGACTTTTTATTAAAGTCAAGAGCAACATCGAACGGTACCTTGTATAAATTAATTTTGAGATAAAATGTGTAAATCGTTTCTCAAAGCGGTAGCCTAGTGGTTAAGATGTCTGTCACTCAACCAAGAAATCATGGGTTCGAGCCATACAAGGGTCACGACCACGTTACTTCGTATAACGCCAGTATTGGTTGGTTCCAGGAAGTTCCAGGAAAATTCATCGGTATTACAATCTGAAATCTTGAATTCTGGTTGGAAATTGTAAAATTAGTTAAGTAAGATAAAGTATTTATCTGACATGGTATACGCTTCTAATTTCAAATTGAGCTGAAGGAGTTCTGGAAACAATCTATCTACATTCATAAGTTCTTTTACTATCAAGTGAGATTCTGCATACTTGAGTTCTGTTGAAAAATCCCTTCTCCTACACATTATAAATTCTATATAGTGTCATTTATCCTCCTACAGATTATCTTAAGCAATAAGTTATAAATTTTGTCAAAATTTAAAAAAAAACCACCACTAACAATAACGTACACAATCCGGGTTTCACATGCGCATAAAAAAAGCGAAAACACACAATTAAAAAAAATTGTCCGGACATATCAGTTTGTTATGTCAAATGGATACAAAGTTTATAATTTTCATTTATAATTGTACTTTTTTAATGAAGTATTCATATAACCGCTATCGATTGACTGAATGGGTTGTTAATAATAAATGTTTGTCATTTATTTTTAGATAAGAAAGCTGTCTTTTGGTTCTGTTTTTTTTTTCAGATTTTAAGTTCCTTTGGTTATTATCACAGGCGTTGCAAATCTGTTGATTCGGGTATTTCTTATCAACAAAATGTTGTCATTTATAATCTTTCCTGTGTTTTTTCGATATGATTAAACTTTATTCAACAAATTTCACTATTATAGAAACAAAATAATAACATGAAGGTAAAGAAATGAATTGAGACGAAATTAATTATTTTCATTGTAGTTCTCATTTACTTCAGAATCTTCTTTTCATTAAATGGATTTACTTAAAACTTTTAAATTACATTTTGTTTCTATTCAAAACACTTCGTATAACATATGCATACGATTTTTTTATACTAGGAAAATTTAAACGACACATTCAATAATATTCTCAATTTGCAATCCTTGCAGTATATGATACTATTTGGACAATGTTTCCTTACACACTATAGGCTAATAAACCAGTTTTAGTTCGACCAAGTATCTTTTTTAAAGGAACGTCTTGTTAAAATTATTCATGAGAAGAACAACCTTTCTAAATTATTGAAGACGCATATATTACGTAATTGTTTTTCGATATTTGGTATACAAGAGATATTTGCCATACTACTCGAGTTATAAAATTCTGAAACAAAATCACCCTTCTTTCATAATAAAATTACCATCCTTTCATAGAAAGTGTCGTAGACTATAAATAAGGCGTGTCGACAAAGTTCGCATTTCCTCATTTGTTTTGAGAATAACACTTTTGTAATAGTTATTTATTATGTTGAATGCAATATAAAAAAAGATCTGAAATTTATTGCGGTTCGCAGATATATAAATATAAATTTAAAATATTATGATTAACAACTGAGCGACATTACGTGCAATATAAAACCACAAAACTCTAAAATTAAAATTAAAAATAGTTTTCCTTTTGTTTACACAATTTATATAATATTATATAAACATATATTTTTGGAAAGATATCCTGGTAAAACAGTTTTATTTAATACTTTTTGAAGTATGTAAAGAACAACACATTTTGAAAACCGTCGATGTGATTACAATCTGTATCATCAACTTAATATTTACCTTCGATTTGACACGGCTCCCGTATAGTATTTGCTATGTCTACATAACACCAATTATAACCGAGGTTTAAAGGATCACGACAGTAATTTGAGAATCCTGAGAGATAATGATCTTGAGAATAAGAATTCTCAAGAATTTCTAGGTCCCAGCTTTGGCAAGCCTTTCCGGTAACTGTGCTATTTATATTTGTCACGCTAGGTCTCTTCAGACATTGACGCGTTGATTTCAGTTCTGCAATGAGAAATTAGATGAATTTAAGTTCTTTTTTAACAGTCACCATTTTACCAACATTTTAAGGAATTTCTTTGTATCAAGCTTAGACTCGGTGCTGTCCGCCTTATCATTCACCTGCTGAATTTCTTTTATGGATACCTCTACTTTGAATTTGGAGCAACCCGTTTGAAGTTTATGTGATTTCTCTATAAAAATACAAATCAAATAAGCTGATTTTTTACTTGAGGCAAATATTTATCACTGTTGCTTCAAGGAGGTGAAATTAAATTTGATAAAATTATAGTTTTTTATTATTATTATTAAAATGTTTAAGCTTGATGATTGTCATTAAGGCAGAAAATTAGAAGTAAAATTTTATACGATATAAAACGGCAAATTCCAATTCAAAAACCATTCTGCACACTTTGTATTCTAATGATTTGATGAGGTTATTTTATATAGTATTCGTTATTGACCAAGACCATTTGCAATGGTGTAAACTCACAACAGATATTGGCTTTTTATGTTTTTAATATCATTACAATAACAAGAAAATCATTTTTGACGTTTACAAAAATACAGACATCATCCGTTGTTGCAGTATTGCAAAATGAGCAGATTTCAGTGTTTTTCACACCTTACCTAGCCAGCAGACAGGAGGAAACTTTCCCTGAGCCAAGGTTGACTTGGACACTGTTGATTACTATATTGGCCGATGCTATATTTGTCAATGAGATAACCTGATTCTCATTAATCCTTAATGGCTTAAGTTTTATGTCCAAAAAGAGACATGTTATTGTGTAATCTTTCATCAACGTTTTTTTTAAATGATACGGCGCCGATCGCCACTGTTGCCCCCCTCGACAGGATTTTTTTTGTTGCGTTATCTACTTGCTGGCAACGCGACATATCATTACATTACAGATACCTTACAAAATCATTTCTGCGCACAAGTCATTCTCTATTTAGATTAAAGACTAGTGTTCATTAGTCCGGATGTTTTGTAAATCATTTAAATTTGCATAATTATACTTATCGTGTGCACTGTCCATTAACAGAGGGCCAAATATTAAATTTAAAAAAACAATGCTTTCATTGATACCTACCTTGTAAGAAAAGTAATGCAAACAAGACTTAAAAGACTTGTTAATGTAATTTGACATAACAGTAGTGCAACATTGTTCTGTTTGAGTCACTACTGTAGTCAGTAATATTAGATGATAAAAAATATCAAAACATGTACATTTTCTTTTTCACCTATAATGCTACTCACTTTCTACAAATATCAACAACTAATCATTGTAGAAAATATTAAAATTCACATGTAATTAAGCCAAATTCACTTTTTCAAAATAACCGTTAGATGTTTCGCGCCAAATGGTATATCATGTTGAACAAGAAGGCATTGATGCAAAGCATCAATTGGCGTCCAAGCAAGAAATGCAGCAAGTGACGATGAACTAGTAGACATTTGATGACCAGATATTCTTTTAACTTGTTCAATGGTTAATTTGATTTTACCAGAAATGTGCATGTATATCATAGATGAATGAGCGGACGAAAGACATTGTTCATCATGAATTTTGGTCAGCTTGCTAAAAGTAAAAATACTAAATGTACTTTCCAAGGAACATAAAAAAAGGAGTCAAACTGAACAAAGTTCTTTTTTGTTATACTTTCAACAAATAAACAAACAACATATAAAAAAGTAACAAAAAAGACTAATATTATAATATAAAAGACAATTTTGCTCTCTAAAATTAAGAAAAAAATGGTTTCTTTTGATGCCTTTGGCTTAAGATACAGTAGTTATATTTGAAGTTTCAGATAAATACTGAAAGAAGAACACGCAATGGAATGAAAAATTTGGGATGAATTTCTAAAATACCAAATAAAGGATTTTGTTTTGTTTTAGTGTTATCAAAAATAATGGTACATTTTAAATCATGAATAAATATGCATGGCATGTTGATATGTTGAAACATTATTTATCAATGGAAGACTGTTACCTGTATTTTAGACAGGTATCATCGGGTATGAGGAAATTCACTAACATCATGTTCATGCGAGTCAAAGATATGAAAGATCTTGACAAAGAGCTATTTTTAATTGATTAATTGGGAGATGATTCTACTATTTTGTTGAATTGCTTCAAAATCCTTGTCTGACCCACTAGTGTGTTTACATTCCTATCAATAAACCCATAACGCCTAGACGGAAGTTTCTGTTGTTAAAATACATGTCGCAGTATTCGGCAAATCATCATTACACTCAAACCACCATCAAACCGATTGTCTTCAAACAAAATGGAACACCAGCGTCGATTTAAATAATCAGGGAGCAAAACACTCCAGCTCGTTCAATTACCTTAGCAGTTAATTAAACTACTTCTATAATTAGATTTTCGGACTTTCTCAAACTTATTGTACAAATTATTCGTTAAACACTCATACATATTGATAAATACTTAAATTCAGCTTCAGAATGTTTGAATAATAAATGTGATAATATAATGATTTAATGCATCGTTGAGTTCAATACTGAATGCTTTATTTGGCTAGTACACAGCTGTGAAATCTATTGTAGGTCAGACAAAAGCCGAGTCTGATATAAACTCTGCAGTTTTGTACGTGTCCAATAGATTCAATATTATTCTCAAAATGTATATAGTAACCTCATTTTTACATTTATTACATAAGGAGATAACATCGTATTTTCAAGTTCAGTAAGAAATTGGTATGTATTTGATAAAGACATTTTGAACTTATATAAAAATGAGGCAATATAGTGTGCGAAATACATATAGATAATTTGGATTCTGAAAAAGGAAACGAGGCTCTATGTGGTGTGATATCTATTTAATACAATTGATTTTTTGGACTTTTCGAATGGAAACAAGAATTAATTGATAGGATTCATGCAAAAAAGAAAGAAAGAAATGAAAGAAAGATATATAGAAAACAATTTTTCCAAAATGTTTATATTCCGTGATTAGAATTATTGATTGTCAATTAAAAGAACGTTGAATGAAATGTAGGAACCTATCATTTAAGAACCTTAAAGATATATTAAACGATAAACAATTTAAAAAGTTCCCTTTTAAGACAAAGGACCTCCGCTTGAGTATGGCATCTTTTAAAAGCATTATTACAATTATACACTAGTAACACAAATAACAAACTATCTACACTCTAGAATAATACCATTCAAACTGCAGGGCTCCCATCTAATGCTGGTATCCGTTGTGAAACACCATATGTGACCAGTATCTAAGGGATCTCTGCAGTAATTGGCGGCGTCACTAATGCTCTCACCCTGTTTGTAAAAGATTATGTCAATAATTTTATTTTATTTATAAAATTGCACTCCCGATTGTTCCAATTAAAATGGGAATGTTTTTAAACTAAGTTTACTTTATTCAGTAATATTAAAAGATGTAAGTAAGACCTACATCGGCGCTGTTTGTAATCCAGGTGTCAATGGTGTGAATTTCGGGCAAGCAGCAGAATATTTTTTCCGGGACAATGGTCATGTATATCTTATTGATGATTCAGACTTAATGTCGGATAAGTTGCCAGTCAATTGAACAAAAATATGTTATAACTGATACGTTATCCAAAGCCGGTATATACCGCCATTATATTGTATGATCAAAATGTGTTTTAATCGGTATATGACAATCGTTCAACAAATCTGTAAATCGATCTTTCAAACAAACCTTGAATAATTTTCCAGTGAAACCATGTTTGTGCGGGTATTGTTTGTCCCATCTTTGGCAAGCTGTACCGGAGAATGTAGTGCTCTGCGTCCCTATATATACATTATAAACAATGCTGAAATTATCTTTAGTTGGAACTGGAATTCATTGTTATATAAAAATATCCATGCAATGTGAACCCTCATTATTTCTATGTAATCATCTTATTGTTATAAAATGCGTCACACCAATTAGTCATGTATTGTCTGGACGTCAAAATATGTTTGTATTGCTATTCAATATGAAAAAGTGATTCATATTTGTGTATGTTTTTTGGATAATAGTGAAATTATGTTGAATTTAACGGTGAAGTTATCAAAATACAATTTCCTGCTCACAAAATATTAAAATGCAGATGCAATTGATATAGCAAAAGTTTAATTAATCAGCAACTGGAAAATATGGTTTTCTTTCTTTATTATCAATTGAACAATAACGCATATACATATAAAACCTATTTAAACTTAGTTTAACCGTGGTACTATATTAACAAATACGGTGATAACTGACATAAGAAGTGACGATGTCACATTTTATTCGTGTGTTTGTATCAATTATACTAAAATGCCACAAATGTTGTTGTTTTTAAGCTAGCATATTCTAGCAGACATTTATGTACCAAAGTATGTTTGCATAATATTGCCATTGAATAGAAAAACAAATAAGAAGCATTGAATACACATGAATTAAAAAAATTAAGATAATTTTCATAAATAACGTTTTTAAGTTTTAAGTTTGTTTTAAACTATGAAACATAATTCATATATAAAGAATCAAACAACATACGTTTAAGACTGCATAACACAAATCTATCATCATCCTTGCAATATAGATCTTTGCCAAACTCACCGTATTGACACGACTTGTTCGAGCACTTGACCCCTGATATAGTTACAGATGCGTTGCCAACATAATCTGCAGGTGCAATCTGCTCCGGTAATTGTATTAGTTGCCTGTCAATCGTTGTGAAAATGGATTGAAAAGGACCTTAAAAACATGTTTGAAATTTAAGATAAAAATTAGTAACTGCATCGGTTATAATCAACTTCAGGAAAAAATGTCCCCATGTGCATATCCTTTTGATATGTTTTCTATGATTGTCAACAACATTATATGGTTAACCACTTACATAAATCATATCGCACCTTTTAAAGCATGACAATGTAGCATATTGGCTTTCTCATTAAATCACACACACTCATCAAAGCTAACCCAATCAAACTTCCAAATATAACAGGACATAGTCTGCTTATAACATTTTAATAATTATTATTTGTACAAGATTAACATCAATTATTTACCTCTACTTTCTTCCTTGTCATATTCACACGTGATATACTCTGCCAAGGTGCGCGCGCAATCTTCATGCTCCCACGTAGAATCATCGTGATAAAGCTTAAAGTTCATTCTCGTACAATTCCCTGACGACAATATATTCCTGTTCCTGATTAAAATAATAAAAAACTATTAATTGTATAAAATTTACAAAAAGTATCACCAACTGCGGTATGGTTGATATACATTGTTTAATTTATTTAAGTTTATTAATTGTCGGGGCTTATCAAGTGTTGCTCCACAATTTTCCAACTTTCCTGACCATTACTCTCACACTTAAGAAAATTGAAAGCATTCGACAGTCAAATCATTATTGTGACGTAGTTGCTTTACAAAAAAATTCAAGAATATTTTGTTTAACGGCGCATCAACCCAGTATAGATCATACGTCTTTAACAAATGAAAGATGATATCTGGCTAACCCCAGTTGTCGGAAACTTCAAAGCAACATCAAGGGTCAAAACCACCTCACCTTATGTAGCTTAAGCAATCTTAAAACAAAGCGACCCCCTTGGAAGCATTAATCACAACACAATTACAAGAGATTAACATTCATAGACTCCAGATATTCGAACCCATTTATTCGCCTTTTACGACCACGCAGGGATAAATGGGGACTGCAGTTATTTTGCCCAAACCAATTAAAGACAACCCGCACAAGGGACAAATTTAGGAATCAATTTTCGTATATGTAATGCACTAAAACCAAATACACCGCCAGCACTAAGAAGATAGTTTGTTTTTTAAATTTTATCTTGAAAAGACGAGTTAAATAGTCAAAGGACTCTACACCTTTTAAGATGTTCAATTGACTGTGATGTAGTAGACATCTAACGCCTATTAGAGCAAACAATTTGGTTCATTAGACAAGTGCTGGAAAAATCTCCAAGTTTCCGATCCATACTCAAGTAATCATTGGCTTTTTCATTGTTATTGTGTTTCTATTCATTGTTTTCATGAGAGATTATCGGTTGGGTCGTAAAACATATACTTTGTAACATTTATCATGTTACAGACTCGAAAGCATAGTCACACTAAACTTTGACAAAAATAAATGATTTATAATCGAATTTAACACTTGTACAAGACCCATTCAAAACTAGATTGATTGGGTTATAAAAAGTTGCATAGGCCACGTTTTAATATATTTACCAGATTATTATTTTTTACCTACCATGCTGTGAAATATTTTACTCGAATACCATTTTCCCAGACAGGTTTTTCTTTGTTAGAAGCTGACCCGAAACTTAATCCTTAAAAAGTAAAAATATATGAAAATAGTGAAATGTGTTTATACAAAACGACATTATGCTCATATTTTTCTTGTCTAGTTGAGCTGAATTGATAAAATATTTTTAAAGAGCTGAATTAATAACATACTTCTAAAGATTGACTTGGTTATAACGCTGACTGACCAACAACTTAATGATTGTCCCAGTCTATTTTATAGATTGAACGTTTCACGCAAATACTAATGGATATTTATTGAAAATGCCTTGGGTGACGTGATATTTAAAGAATATTTCTTTAACCGCATTTGTTATAAAGAAGCTTCGCAAACAAATTTTTATAAAAATGAAACAAGAAGCAACAATAATAATAATAATAATAATAATAGTAATAATTATAATAATGATAATAATGATAATAATAATAATAATAATAATAATAATAATAATAATAATAATAATAATAATTATAATAATATAAAATAAAATAACAATAATAATAATAATAATAATAAAATAATAATAATAATAATAATTATAATAAGAATAGTAATACTTATAATAATAATTATAAAAAAACAACGTCATCATCATCATCCCTGTCACAACAGCACTACCACCATCATCAATAATAATAATTTTACTACTACTACTAATAAAAATAATGACAATAATAATAATAATAATAATAATAATAATAATATAATTATCATTATTATTATAATGATTACGATTATAACAAAGTAATATTAATGATGATAATTAAAACAATGATAATAATAATAATAATAAAAATTATAATAATATTTAATATAATAATAATAATAATAATAATAGGTAATTATAGTTAATACTTCTACTACTACTAATGACAATAATAATGATAATTATCACAGAGTAATCATATCAATAATAATAATTATAACTAAATATTAATAAGAATAATAATAATTATCACAATTATCATAATAGTGATAATGATTAAAAGTAATGACTATATAAACTATTATCACAACATGAAATTTTCTTCTTCTTGCTTATTATTGTTATTATTATTATTATTATTATTATTTTATTACTTTTATTAACAAAGTACTAATAATACTAATAATAATAATCACAAAGTAGTCATATCAATCATAATAATAATCATTATAATAGAAATAATAATAATAATACTTATAATAATAATAATAATGATAATAACTATCATAATAATAAAATAATAATAATAATCATCATAAAATAATAATAATTATAATAAAAAAATAATAATTAAATGATAAAAATCACAAAGTAATAGTATTATTAATAATAATAATAATGATGATGATAATAATAATTATAATAATAATAATGATAATAATCATAGTCATAATCGTCATCATCATCCTCATCCCTGTCACATCATCAATAATAATAATAATAATAATAATAATAGTAATAATAATAATAATGATTATATAAATTATAATCGCACCATGGAACTTTCTTCTTCTTCCTTATTATCATTATTATATTATTACTATTATTATCATTATTATTATTACTATTAAATTTTTTATCAGTTATGAATAATTCGTAATTTCATATCAAAGAAAATCAAATGGATAACTGTCATATTTGAAAATGAATCTATTGAGGAAAATCAAATAGGATTTTTATTCCAATAACTTTTATTGTTAAAATTCCAGTTGGAAATTTTTCTAACAAAAAAATGGAAATAAATCCAATTGGATTTTCATTTTTTCAAAACACCTCATTGGTTATTCAGCTTGTATAATTATGTTTATTTCTATCGAAAACTATCATTTGCCTTAAATTATTATCGTTTTTACACTTATTAAATTTTTCTGAAAAAAATCCAGTCGGAACTTTTTCTAGCTTTCAAAATGGGATTTTTTTCTATTTTGGCAAATTAGTTCTTCAAAACTAGCCAGAGAGTCATTATAGGATGTATTAATGGTGATTTTTATAATTTAAGGATTGCTGGAAAAATTGAACTTCCCGTAGGAATAAATAAAAATGTTGGAAAAAATGCCAATTGGAATATAAGTAAATTCCGCCCGGACAGCATAATTCCGGGCGGAATACATGAAATTCCACCCGGACAAATTTTCTAAAATACAATTGTTGATAAGACAATTTTTTTAAAATAGCTTTAAATGAAGTCAAGTATTTATAATTTGTCCTAAATCTATCGGATGAAATGATTTTTTAGTGTTTAGGGCAAGTATAAATGGTAGTGAAGTTTGCCACATTCCCGGTGGTGCAAAGATTTTCCGGTGGCTGCTTATTTATCATCTATATAAAGTACATTGTCAAATTTAAAGGAATAATGGCACCATGTAAACTTATTTTGACAATCACCTCTTCACTCACTAAATACCCTTGGATGTCAGAGGGAAAAGTCGCATTTTAACTTGTTAACACAGAAGATGTAAAAAGCATCGAATAAAAGTGTGCACTGCGTTTTATTCTAAATCATAGTAACGGTCATTTTTTGTCGCATTGAAAAAAAGAGGTTTACAATTTTTTTGTTTACAATGTTCAATCAAAAGCTAATGTTTTGAACATTGACATGCTTGAGTACAAACAATTAGGACCGTTTATAACAACGCTAGTGAAGCATACTTTCGGAAAACTTCGCCTTTGCAAACTGCCAGTAATTTCAAGGAAAGTGCCAAAAAGATAACGTTATGTTAATAAGTAGCGCAAATGACTTCATGTCAAAGTGTTATTACACTAATGCAATATCAATTTTATTAAATGGCTTTATTACACTCCTGCGCTGCGGTGTATGTGATGAATTTATATATTTCATAATTTTCACGTCTACAAACCTATGTGTACGTAAAATTCAGCGTCAAAGTATTCAGTCGGCGGTTGGTCTAAAATTCTCCTTTTTCGAAGTAAGTGTTTGATGAAGCGCATTTCCGGTAAAGTTATCATAGTAATAAGGGTCATGTTTCTTCTCCAACATTCCTGTCTCGCCTGATTCCAGTTTGTTGTCTTTAGTATAACATTATAGCACTTATTGAAGTGGCTTGAGCATACTAAAATTCAAAGAGATTTTAAAGCTTATTTAAGATTTGCGTTTCTTACTGTTTTTATAAATCATGAGTTATAAGCAGACATTTACATTTTTTTGGACAAAGTCCGTCTGTTATCTAGTTGAGTTCCTGTAACAGAGGTATACTGAATATAAGTGAGAATAATTTTCATTGGTCATTTTGAAATTCCAAACTTAACTACTTGTTTATGTTCAAAGTGTTTTTATATGTGTATAAAGGTTTTATAGCGCAGCTAATCGGAGCGTGAACAATTAAATGACTTGAGTTTGAGTAATTGTTTCTTCATGATGATTTCATTGTCGACAATACACTAGTTTAGATTCAGTGAACAAATAGGAAGAAACCAATAAAACTAAGCATAACTATACCAATTACGTATACTAAAATTAAAAACTTGTAATTTTCATTTATATTCAAATATTAGGAGTTTCCTATGTCTCATATTTCTTTCAATAGATAAAGGTATAACACTTATGATGATAATAATATTTAAGAATTATTATAAATATCTATATCAATATCTTTTATTTTTTTCCTATCTCCTAGTACATTTTTATGGTGACATGTTTCTGTTTTACATTAAACATTTGTTTGCAAGAAACTACTAACCAGTACAACTTTTATTGCCGGTACATTGTCGACTTTCAGTTTCATCTCGTTGGCAGCCCCTGTCATTTTCTTTGGTCTTGTCACATTTTCTCTTTCTTACTATTATCCCATTTCCACATGGAGAAGTGCATTCACTCCACTCCGACCATTGTTCTAAACCATCAGTTTCTATTTGATCA